GGAATTATTTTGAACTGAGAACATAGAATACATATTGTGCAAAAGACAACTATAGGTAAGAAGCTTTATTCTATTGAGAAATAATAAAGTATTTTGGTATCTATTGGAACTGCATGTGAATTCCAAGAGTATTTTATCATGTCATGAAAAGATTAGCAAGTTTTTTTCCAATTACCTTGGTAAAGCCAAAGATTAGTGCAAGTCTTATACTTCAATAAATTTATTTAGTTGCAAGCAGCAAAACCCCATTTTATAATTTTTTAGAGAGTTTTGTAGTAAAATTTTTCAGTATAACATACATTTTAATTTTTAGAATCTTAATGTATATATATTTTGACTTTTGAAAAAATGTTCCTAATTAATGCTTGTCTGTCTACCTACTTAAAAGGAAGAAAAAGTGAAGGGTAGTGGTACTGAATGATGAAGCACTTTTGGGGTTAGTCTCAAAAAAAAAGACAATTCTGCAATGTCAAACTGATGAAGCAGAAGTTGCCCTTCAATGAACTTGTTTTGTTAATTGAAACCCTGCTTAAACTGAAAAATGTATGTAGGTCATATAATGAATGTTAGTGGAAAGATATGGAGCCATAGCTTCCTGATCTTGCCCGATAGGCTGAACCTTCAAATAGCTGCTGTAAAGTTTGTTTATGTAGTTTTTAAAACGCTTTGACTGACTTGATATTTAATAACTGTACAACAGTCAGCAAAAATTTCTGGCTAAAAATTCTGTAGTGCTTTCCAAAAAACTATACCTCTGTGTATTGAGCTTTCAGGTAGTAATATTTTTACCATCGTGGTAGTGAAAAATTATTTCATTTTTTTTTTCTTTCTAACTGGTCATTCAGACTAAGGATGGGTATTTAATTACAAATTATGCATGCACACACACACATGTAAACAAATGGAGATGTTAGGACATCTGTAGATGCATGCATTTTACTGAGTCACTACCAAAGCTGGTTTCTTGTTTTGGAATATACTGAGATGTGTCTGAAAAGGACCATATGAGACAGAACATTTATTATGAGTCTTACTAATAAAAATAAATTGTGTGTAAGTAGACATTTAGAGTATTTGCATTTGAACTATCCCTAACTATTTTTTTCTGTTTCAGTTAAGTTACTTTTTTTGTCTTTTGTTATGTGTATCTAACAGGCAGCAGCTAAAGGCTGAGAATGAATACTAAGGTTTAAAGTAGCAGTAGTTAATGCTCATGTTGAATAAATGCAGTTGTTTATTACATCTCTTTTTCACATAATTCCATTAATTGTTTAAAGTAGAATGTAACAGTACTTGGGAAATTGTTCATTAGAACTTGTTTTCTTATAACAGTAATTTTTTTTAATTTTTTTTAGTGAATAAAAAAAATGATATATAATAAAGTTTTATTTCCTCCCCTGTGTTTCAATTTTAAATTTAAATTAAACTAATGCTATAGATCTACTTCACTGGAACAGACATGACTTGTGTTTTAAAATAAAACAAATCTCAGAGTTCTGCCTAGAGAAATTTAGAATAGAGCAAAATTAATTTTAGGATTAGAAAAGCCAGTGTTGCAAAATACTTGTCTGAGTTATGTAAAACTCAAATACAGAGCAGAGAGGAAAACATATGGAGCTAAGTTTGGGTATATGACTGTACGGTTTCGCTAGCTAGGCCTAGGAAGGCTCTGATAAATTCTCTTACACTGTCTTAAACTCTCATAATACTTTAATGCACATCTCTAAAGGGACATTGCTATAGCATGGAACGTTTTCTCTTATTATATAATTTTCTGAAAATTCCAGAGTACAGTACCTTAATTTTGATAATGAAAGTAATTTTCTTTTGAGAACTTGGGTTACTGTAGAAGTTTAAAGCCTGTCTGTGGGTGAGATATAATTTAATCCCTTGAGTATTTAAGAAGCATTCCTGAGACTGTCATCAAAAAGCGACAAGATTAGCACTTGCAGTTTATTGACAAGATGCCTCATAGGAAAGACGTTTATCTGTAAGGGTATTGTTTTTTAAAAGGCAATAAAGTGTGTCTTAAGCTCTGGGAATGTGCACACTTTCTGAAATACAGAAAGAATGGAGCAGGTTCTTTTCATACAGCTCATGGCACAGGGACATAGCCGTTTACTGAGGTAAGAATTACATGATGATAAAACTACAAAGTAACTAATTTCCTATCAGTTAAAAATATAAGTGTTTAAGGATTAAGAAAGTCTTAACAGTCCCTGTCAAAAATTGAATTCAGACATGCTCAAAAGTAAGTCATTATTCAGCAACAAAATTGTGTCCTTACGTATATGCCTGTACCCGAATATATTTTGGAGAATGACAGAGGTTACCAGAGGGTTTGTTGTTCTTTCTGGGTTTAAAAAACTCTGGAAGAGCTAAATCATATCTTCTGTTCCAGGATTTTAGCTCTTTGCTTCCCATAATCTTTTCGAGAGAACTCCTTGTGATTAACTGGTCATAAAATCTTGTCTGCATTAACAGGTCTTTACTAATCCCATCTTCATCCCTACAAACAAACAAACACTCCGTGGTACCAATTCTACTTTCACATACCCTGGTGTGGTCCTGTTCCTATCAAAGTATTTCCTTCAGATTTATATAGCACAAATAGAAGAATAATAGATCCTTTCCTCTTATTTTATCTGTGGACTGTGCATTGAATGACTTATTTTAAAGCAGTTGTGATTCAATGGGGATGTTTTTAATTTGCTGCCTGTTCTCTTTACCTCTGAGGAAAGAATTTTGTAAATGCTGAATAATTTTAGAACATGTTTTCTTGGTTAAGGGTTGGATCATATTTTAAATTGGTTTTAAGAGGAAGGAAATCGTGTAAATGCTGTGGAATTCAGATAAGCACTGTGCATAGGAAGTAAATACTTTAATTTAGGGTGCCTAGAATTGGTAGGTCAAGCTGATGATAATAAAGGACCAAAACTTAACTTTGTTTCAAGGAACATGTAATCAATATTCACTCTCCTGTTTTATTTCCTTTTTGCTTGAGAAGTTATTTTGAAGCCGAAATGTGCAATTGCTTAAGTATTCCACAGGGTGTCATGAGGTAGTTGTTGGAATCATTAATACTTGGAGGAAAGTAAAGAAAGTAAGTGTGCAGTCCTCTGAATGCCAGTTAATGTAATTTTAGATGTGACTAATACACATGCCATAAAGTAAAAAGTTCTTAACTCATTAACACATGTATCTTATTTCTGTATCTGTATAAAATATACACACGAAGAAATATATTATAAGAGGTCATTTACAAGAGTGAGCTATTCTATGTCAGGTCTTCCCAAAAAACCTTTCTATATATACTCTTACTATTTTATAGTTTGCAGAGCAAGTGGAATCTTTGGCTCACAGCAGTAACCTGACATAGCAAAGTAGGTGTATAAAAAAGAAAAAATAAAAGGAGAGGGGAAAAAAAGAAAAAAAACACTAAGAAAAGAAAAAAAAAGTACAATACGTACATGTATAATGTAGTAGGAGGAGATTTTTTTTTACCAAAGTATGTCCCAAATTAAGTGTGTGTGATTATGGTGATATATTTTTGCATATGGAGACCAAATTTTTATTGACATTACTGTTGACTTCTGCAGAGATGCACGTGCACTGAATTCAGCTTCAGATTTGTAGAAGAATCTTTAAATACAGTTTAACAGTAATTGTGCAGGATCCTGCTTTGCTAAAATCTGGATTGCTTTAAATGGAAATGACATCTGCCATGAGAAAAATTACATTAATGAAATGAACAGCAAAACTTCATTCCAGTAGCAACAGAACGTGCTCCAAAGTGTAAAATCACTGATGAAAATAAGAATTTGCATTTCTGTTGACAGCAATAATTTGTCTGATTTTAACAGTATATTTAAAATGAGTTTTGAACAAATGATACCTTGCAGATTTAGGCATGTTTTGTTGTATTATATAAAGTGGAATACTAAAATAACAGCCTAGTTAATTTTCTTGTTACTATTTATCTGTACTAAGTATTATGGAACAAATTTTGGCTTTATGCCGAGGTGTAACAGTGAGTGGCACTGAGAGCATAGAACGAAGGGAGATTGATTCTTCTGACAGTTAATAAAATTTTGCACATATGATATAGCATACATGCTCTCTGCATTGTGCCTAGAAGGTCATAGTGCCTTACATCCATAGAATGTGATTGCCGTGACAATCAGAAGCTGAGTGCTTTTATTCAGATTTGCTTCTAAAATCCATGTGATCCTGGGGACATTTATTTATGCAAAACCTTTCTGATTTAACCACTGTAAATCATGACCAGTTTAACATACCAGTGTGCTTATAGGTAGCTTAGAAGTATGTTTAAATGCACACTAGAGGAAGAATTAGATCTGTTTAAAGCAATTTTAATATCCAAAATAGAATGACATACCTGAAATGTCCATGGAGATAAAGAAAATGAATGGAGATGGTGGCCTTGGGGTTGTTTGGGTTTTTTTTTTTTGTTTGTTTCTGGGTTTGGCTTTTTGAAATATAAACATCCTGTTCTCTGACCAGGTGAGTTTCCTTCTCAGTATGGTGTCGTTGAAAGAAGAGGTTTTTAGGTAGATAGGTCATCATCATCTTCCTCAGTTTAAGGCTCACTGAACTCACTTTGACTCTTTCTTTGTCCTTCTTATTGCAACTAGAATAATCTAAAGGGGTAATTCCACACATACTTTGAATTACTGAGATAATGCAGTACCTTAAACTAAAGTGATTAATATCAGAAAATATTTAAATAATAAAATATCTGACTGCACTGAAATTTTTCCTATAATTTATTAGAAAATGATACTTTTTGGCAAAGGAAAACAAGATAGAAAGGATAGAAGTTAAAAACCATTGATATTATACCATGTAAAATCTTGGCAATATACTGAGACATAGGTGTCATGTGTGATATGGATGCGTTCAGTTGATCCCAGTGCCCAAGTCCCTCTTTGAATGTTAAGATAAGGTTGATGAATATTATGATCTGTTTTTATTTTCAGATTGAAAATCTACAGGAGCAACTTAGGGACAAAGACAAACAACTTACTAATCTAAAAGACAGAGTGAAGTCATTGCAGACGGATTCTAGTAACACAGACACAGCACTAGCAACCTTAGAAGAAGCTCTATCAGAAAAGGTAACGTTTTCTCATGGAACAGCATCATGTGCTGCTCTTGTGGGTGAAGTGTGTTCAGAAAATGTCTGTTTAAGTTGGTCTGGCACCTATAACAAAGCCTACGGGCCCTGTCAGGAAAGCAGGTGGCTCTGTTCTGGTAGGGTGAGCAGGAAGTGATTCCCGGCTGATGAACTGAAACAGGATTCTGTGGTAAAGAAGGATGTCCTTTTAAATGGGGACGGAGGAAATGGCCCACAACATGGGAGGACTTTCCCTTAGTCAATAGGATGAGTGGTTGTTTCCTGAAAGAACAGAAAGACATGGGCATTTGACTTAAAGAAGGTGGAGTTTTGGTATTTTTATGACTTTGTGATCTTGATTATCCTGTTGTTTTGTCTATTAAGCAGAGCCTAACTGAAGAGACTGTACCAACTGTTACCTTGGCTTGCTGTTAGCACTGTTGGTTTCCAACACTTAATTTATAAGAGAAACTGTATTTCATTAAAAAAAATGGAGAATTACTTTTTTTTTAAAAAAAAAAAACAAACCCACACCTATATGCCTTTAATTTCAAAATACTTAGCAGAAGGAATAAAGGGATAAATCTGGACTGTTTAAATTAGTGGCAACATTCCTACCAGTTTCGGTGAGGTCAGGGTTTATCTTCCAGTTAACTTTGAATACAAGGTAATCCAAGTAAATCTATATGCCAAAAAAGTTAGTACAATTATCCACTTTTTGCAGCTCACAGATGTTAAAATGTATCATTTAAATGTGCACAGGTGAGTGCAACTAATTAAACTGTTGTGTGTCATTCTGCGGTGTGTAATCCTAGGAAGGTATTTGTGACTGTACACAACTTTAAAATGCCACTGTGGTGTTGGCACTAACACCTAAATTGCTAATGTTGGATTTTTGATCTCTTTGTATGTTTAATCACCTTACTAACATTTGCTTGATCAACAACAGTGAAAAAAAATGGCGTTACTGTTACTTCTGTGGCTTCATCTGGATAAGCTTACAGTATTTATGCTGTAAAGAAAGTACATGCATTTTCTTAATCTTTCACTGCTAATCTGGACACAGTGCTCACCAATCTCACAGTATATTATTAAAAAAAAAAGTCACGAAGTACTTTTTAATCTGTTTTTCCTCCTTGTAAACTGTCTTTTGTGGATTAGTCTATGTTGCCCATAAAGGCAGCTGGGAGTTTAAAACAGTCCTTTAACCATCATGCTACTGTTGTCAATGTAGAAGGCAGAGTAAGTGTCACACTGCAAACTTGCCAGTTCTTCTGTGCAACTGAGCATGAAGCAGATTGTCAAAAGCCAAAGAAATGTTGTATCCAGTTTTCTGCCTCAGCTATATCTGCAGCACTTCAGAGAAAATGCAGTTATGCAATATTTCTTGGCTGGGGTAATTTCCTAAGTTGCAATCTGTCTTCAATTGTAATGTATTTCTCTGTTGAAAATATTAATTAATGACAGTTTGCCAGGGTTCAGAGTAGAAGCAGCAAGTGTGGAGATATCGAATAGAATGTGTATAGTTGTCTTCTTACTACCAGAAATACAGGGTTAAAACCAAACCCAAATTAATAAGTGTTGGTGCAATTAGTTGTTTTCAAGTAATTTTGTACCACTAATATTCTAAAATCTGTTGAAATAAATGTAAACTAACATATACACGTAAAAGGTTTTGTTTTGTATGTATCTGAAAAGAAAATTTCCTATTATTTTCAGACATACAAATTGTCAATTTTTACTAAACTCAGGATGCATTATTTTTTAATATTGTAGTGAGGATTTGTCTTAGAGATTGTTTAAAAATTGTCCTATAGAATTGCTTTGTTTATACGATAACTCAAAATGTGACAACGCTAGAGACCCTGACAGCATGGAAATTTTGTGTCAAGCTTTGCTTGATTGCTGTAATAAAGACTCAAAGTCCAATAAATGATGCCAGTTTTAATGTTTTGGAAAAGTTAGATACTTCTCTGAAATGTGTTTTTGCGATTCATGTCTACTTCATTTGGAATTGCATGGATATATACAAACAGACTTTTTTAAAGAATCGGTGTGATCAGTGGTTTTTCCAAAAGGAATTGATTGGAACTCAAGTGGGGTCTCTAAGGTCGAATTCTAAGTTGTCACTGCTTAGACAGTCAGCTGGGAATGGCATCGTTCCTGCAGTGTCTGCAGCCTGCTCTGAGACACATATACAGTGAATACTATGGGGTGTTTTCCTCTGCCACAGACATTTCAGTCTTTTTGCAGCTGATGCTTTTGAGAAGTGGCATGAAGCTGAGTTGTGCTGTGGTGTCTGGTGATTGTTTCAATCACTTATGGCGAGATGGTTACTTATAAAAGTTAGGTGGCAGTATACGAAGGGAAGAACTCTATACGTAAGTAGATAAGCCTGTGCTTATCATTCTATATTACTTCAGAAATACTGCTTTGTTAACCTGCGGAAAAGATACACAGAATCATTAAATAGCCTTTTTCTACAAATGAGCTTTTTAACTCAGTGTCAATAATTTTATGGCATGCCCAAATCATTATGCAAATTAGTGTCTGCATTAGAATGGGAACATGTGAATTGAATTTTTACACAAATTGAATTTTAAACAAATTTTCCATTTGTTTGCATTTGTGTTATTTTCCTATGACTATTTTTCTGTCTTTTGATATCTGTAAGTGTAATTAAATTATTAATTAAATAATTAATATTTCTCCAATTTCTGAACAGCTATATAACAACAATATAGCTCCTTCACAGTTACTGGATGATTTACAGTGACTGACAGGTAGCAATACTGATGATAAACTTAAAAATCTAGAATAGAGAATATCAGTTTTAAAGGACTTAAAATACTGCCTTGTCCTTTAAGTTCTTTGGCTGAATTTGCTTATGAGAGGATCCTGTTATACAAACTCTACTTCATGATGATTCTAGTGGATATTTTTGTGTTTGTGGTTTTTTTTTTTTTTCCAAATGTGTGACCAGTCACTATGTGCTACTGGGAAATCTTTTTACAGTTCGGGAATGATTAGTATATTAGATAAAAAAAAAAAAGGAGAAAAGCAACACTGCAGAGTAGAATTAATATGAGCTTTTGAGAAACAGAATACTTGATATTAGAGCATTAGACACAATGATGAGTTGAGGAGACATAATGAGGAAGTTCCCAGGCTGAAGGCATTTCTCTGTGGGATTTTGATTATTTATTGTACAGAGAAACGATGCACAATTTCTTTCCCATTGTAAGCTTCTTCAAGGCCATGCTTTCAAGAGTAGGTTTCTGAATGTTAATTGTAGTCTTTGGGGTGTACTTATACATTGAAAGAAGCCGATAGGCGGCATCTCGAAGTTCTAAATGAGGCATTTTGTCTAGTTTTCCTAGTGCATCAGTAGAAGTACTTTTATCAATTTAAATTTGTAATGCTGTCAAGAAAGGATGCTGCTTTCATTTATGAATACCTGATTTCTGTGGAAATATATTATGGTTTTTGGTGTTTGTGTTTTTCTTTACCTAGAAATTATATCAGGCATAGTTGGCAGCTGTATCATCTTGTTTTATACTCTGAGATTAGGCACAATTTTTGGCTTTATCTTAATTGTTTCTTCAATTCAATAGTTTTCAGAATTTTAATTAAAAAAATAATGAGCAAAATACTCCAAGAGCAGCATGGGAAACTCTTTTAAAATAAAAATTGAATTTATTTATACCAGTTTAGTTAACCACAATTCACTAAAATTGGATTTAATTGGTTTTCTATGGGAAGAAAAAGATGTTGAAACATCATCATATGATATGAACGAATTCTAAAACTAGTTTTTAAGTCCAGAACTCAGTTGTTTGAGCATTCATGTTTTCCCTGCATTGTTCTTGAAAATACTCAGATCAAGATTTTGGCTCTGAAATAGGAAATAGAGCTCCCTGTTCTTCAAGAAAATAGATTTTTTTTTTTTTTTCCAAGTATCTGTCTCTTTTATTTTTTCCATATTTAGTGATTAGGTAGCTTGATAACACTGAGAAATTACTGTAGACGTCTATGAGAAACAAATCAGCACAACTTTAGTCACATTTGAGTGCATTTTAGAATCAAACTGAAAAAGAGCTTCATTCGGTTCCTTGCCACTAAGTTTGGAGCCTCTCCTAAACACTGAAAATTCTTAACAACAATAAATGTTACACTGCAATAAACAAAAAATAAATTTACTCCTATTAAAAACAAAAAAGTTGGAAAATCAGAATATGCAAAACCGCTATCAGCTTCCTTGATGTTTTAACAAGAAACTTTTCAAAGAATATCTCAGCTCTTGGACTGGCCCAAAGCAGCTCAAGAGGTTGCTTTCATGAAGCTGATATTTATAAAGTTGGTCCTACTGTAGCAGCATACAGCAGATAAGCAATGGAGCATGTCTGATAATGGAGCTATATGCTGTGGCAATTCAGTTCCTGCTTCTGTGATAAAGTGCAAATAGATTAGACCTGTGAGGTCCTAGATTAGTGTGTATGGAAAGCTTGCCAATGCAAATAAGACTGAAACAAGAGCACATTGTTGGGATTTCTGGAGGTTAGCTGTTAATCAAGTAAAACATGCTATATTAGGGCCTTTTAACACGCTTTTGACATTTAGCCTTATGCAGCTGACAGATAAATTAGTCGTCTTTTGTGATTGACTGAGAAAAAATTATACTGTTCATTAATAAGATGAAATAGTGTTAGATTTAATTTGTTATAGAAAAAAAATCATTTAGGTAGATAAATCTTCAAGAAGAAATTGCTGTAAAACTAAGTCTGAATGTAACTAGGTGGATTCTGAATAAACTTGAAGTTATTTAGTATCACTTATCATCCCTTTCTTGCATAATGTATATAGCAAAAGCCAGCTGATAATAACATTTAAAAAAAACCCAGTATATTTGCTGGTTTGTAATTTGTGTAATACTCAACAATGTTGCTGTTGAAGGACCTTCATTCTGTATGAACATGTTCCTACCTGAGATCCTGGCAGGTGTGAGTCAAAGGGAGATTTTGCCGTTGGGCTGAAGGAGGCCAGGAATCAGGCAGAAGTGCAGTGCCAGGGGTCTCTGCGTAGACGGTTGATGCTGTCTTGGAAACAGATTTCATGACAGGCAGCCTGCTACCTTTAGTTTTGACCATATCTTTTTTTACTGCATGCTGAGTGGAACGTAGTATGTCATCAATGTGTATTTCTTGCTGAATGGATGAAGTAGAGACATGAGCTCTATGTGAGTAGTCAGCACTGCGTTCGTTCTGTGAAGATTCTAGCAGTAACACTGATTTGGTAACGCATGTGTTCGGTGAGCTAGGTTGTGAAAGGGAGTCCCTGATGTCAGGGGAGAAGTGAAAGCTGTGAACTTCCAGCCCTTTGAAAAGGTTTTCCTTAGGAACCGGGTAGGAAAAAATAACTATACCAATGTCCTTATTACAAGATTATTCAGTATAGTGCTAATTATTTTCCAATAATTCAAATTCCAAAGATTGAAAATACATTTATTTACAAACCTAACTCTTTATTTGGTAAAGATCTTCATCTAATTGTTTTAAACCTTCTAATAATATTTAACATTTGTTTTACTAATACATATAATTATATTATAAAATACTCGATGTGATGCGTTTTTAAAAATTTTGACTGTTGGTGAAGCAAATTATTACAGCTGGAAACCAGTATTTTATAACTGGAAGAAAAAAATAATTTGTTAGATGAACATAAATGTTTGAAATGGCTCTATAAGGATTATATTTGAAATATATCACGTTTTGCTCTTAGGCCTAGTTTTACATCCAGTAATAGATTAGTCATTTAGCAAGCATCTGTGAAGATTAATATCCCACATCTGCTTTTGATACTTGATCTTAACAGCTCATGTTGCATAATGTTTATGTGTAACATTTGCTATATAAACATGATGCAAGTTGATTTTTTAAATATTTAGAATAAAAATTAGGCAATAGAATTTTAATTTAAACCTTGATATTTAGAATATGCTTATTTACACTTACACTGAGATCTGCAATTAGTTCTCTGATAGCAACCACGAACATTAGAGACTTTCCAAATAACTAAAGACCAATATGAGAACCTGAATCTTTCTGGTTTTTTAAATGACATTTAAGTATTTTAAGGGAAATGCATTAAAGTAAAGTAAGTGTCACCAAGTTTTAAATCAGTAATTTAAAATAATATGTATTCAATTCATATAGAAACTGATTATCAGTTTTAAACTTTATACATGCAGATAATATGGCATTTAAATGATAGGAGAGTGAATAAATGGGCGATCTTCAACAGATGCTTAGTGAAAGACAGATATATAGAAGCTGAAAATAAAAGAGGACACTTACAGAAAGCTTCCCAGTCTCCTGAAAACACTGTGTTCCATTTTCTAGCAAGTAGATCCTTTGCTATGCAGTATGAAAGGAGGAACAGACAAGAAGCAGGGGCAGTGGACAATTGTCTGCAGAGTTGCTGATGTGGTCAGTGTTACAAAGGGATGAATTGTGAAAGTGGGGAGAGAGAGACTGAGCAGAAGAGAAGCAACCAGTGTTTGAGGTACACAATCTAGAAAATGTCTCTGCCTATTCCACAAAACCAATGAGACTGGAAGAGACCTCTGGAGATTATCTAGTCCAAGCCAGCTGCTCAAAGCAGAGTCAACTAGAGCAATTTGCTCAGGATCTTTCAGCTGGGTTTTGAATACCTCCAAGGCTGGAGATGGCTGGGATGAAAATCGCAGCCTTATGTTTAGGCTCCTTGATATGCATATAAGTGTTAACAGTTGGCTTTTAGTGAAATATACCTTGAGCTTTAAAAACCACGGAAGCAATCTTCAAAAGATCCTCTAGGACTTGGAGGAACATCATACCTAGCGTATGAAAAAAAAGAATTAATAACCCGATCATCTGAACAGTATATGCTTTTTAAAAGTGCTGTTATTATTTCAGCGAACTTTGATAATGAATTAATTTTTTCTTTCACTGTAATGCTAAGTTTATTACAAATAAGAATGGGATATACAGCTGCTGAAATGTTGCTTGCATTGTAACGTTTGTTGACATACAATAACCTCAGCTGAGAGTATATTGATAGGGACAAAGGTAAACTATATATATCTGTGTAGTGTATATATATATCTTTGTATCTTCAGCTTGTGTGCTTGTACATATGTGGCAGTATAAGGAATCATGGACAGTGGGAATTAGCATGAGATTTTTCTCTTTCTCATAATCAGTCTTGTGCAGTCCCATGAAATAGTATTTCAAGTATTGATCCCACTCTTCAACTCCTCCTTGGAGGTTTCAAGCAGAAGTACAAAAGGACTTGAATAGGGTCCATGAGCATGCTGATGGTTGTACCTGAGCTGCGCCTCTGGTAGCATACAACTTCATCAGTCAGGATGTAGGTTTGTCCCATGTAGGTTTAACTTTCCTAAATGATGTTGCTTCCACTGCCTCCCTGACTACCACTTCCAGAATGATACTAGTAGTAGATGATGGTAGTTCCCCTCATACTCTGCTTAAATTGACTTATTCCCAATTCAAATACAATTGTAGTGGTTATTTTATTTTACCTTAAGTATTTCTTTCTGATTAGTATTTGCATCCTTCAAGAACTGGTGGAATGTGATTTTGAAGAACGTAATCAAAGCTTAACAAAACCATACTACTGCATCTGCTTTTTACGTTTCACCCTTTGAATTCGTCACCCAATTCTTGACTGTAACTTTCAGTAATCCTTATGATAGTAACTGGAAGTCAGCAAAATATTTAAAAATGTGGTTAAGTTGAAATGTGTGTTGGGTTATTGTTAATTAGATGGAGAAAAATCTTCCTTTGGATATCGTAAGTTGTATCAGGGTACTTTTTGTGTGTCTTGGACAACATTTTTTGTCCTCAATATAATACATTTAAACTGTAAGTCACTGGTAATTAACAAGTGATTGATTTCTAATCAGATTTGGAACCTTGAAAACCTCTTGCAACCACTATAGAGGCTACTGGCATTCAAAATCATAACCAAATTAAGGCTGAGTAAGCCATTCATGGCCTCTCTGTTTTAAACTTTTATTCAAGACTTCAATCACTTACGAATACAGAAAATACGTTACTGAGATGAATAACTTTCCATATCTATCACAAGACTAAACATATTCGTATCGGTATAGATACTTAATGAAGTTTCTGTACTGTGTTACTCATATCAAGTATTTAAAACCTTGATCTGAAATTTTTGAAATCAGAGGAAATCTTGCATTCACTTTAATACCATTAACTCAATCATCCTCTGCTTCTGAAGGTTGATTTTTCCAAGTGCTACTCAATGTAAAGAAATTTTATTCTGTCTTTTCTTAAAATGATTCCCAACTTTTCCATTTTGCAATTCTTTCCCTTGTTAGGAAAGAATAATAGAGCGCTTGAAGGAGCAAAGGGAGCGAGATGACAGAGAAAGACTTGAAGAAATTGAATCTTATAAAAAAGAAAACAAAGACCTGAAGGAGAAAGTTAATGCTTTACAAGCTGAACTGACAGAAAAAGAGGTCAGTCTTTTCAGTAAAATCTATATTCTTCTATCTATGTCATTATGATGAAAGAAAGTGCATTAGGATTACTCTTGAATCATTTTAAGTACTGAAATTCCACCACTTCAGAGATGAGCTTCTGACCTGCTGTTTTCCTAAGCGTTCTTCACAGTCCTCACTTTTGTACATAAAATACTACTTCAGTTTTTGCATAGTTGTCTGTCATTATCTCTACTTTTTCCTTTACATAAGCCTCCAGTAGACTCAAATATTCCATTGCTGCTCCTGTTTTCATTTGTCAGTTAGAGCAATAGACTTCAAAGTAATTGTACCTCCAGAATATGATGTCAATTTGTCTGTATTATGAACGTTTCTGTGTTTCACTGCATGACAGCTCTTGTGGTTCCAATTGGTTGTATTCTCAAAACGATGTCTTTTGCTATCAATCCTTATCTTTGTCAGCTCTTTTTGGGGAAGGGGAGGGGGAACAGGATCCAAGTGATTATTAAGTTGGCAATAAGTTAGTGTCCCGGTGACTAGGAATTAACTTTTTACTCTTGGTCATTTTTCAGTCTAGTTTAATCGATCTCAAAGAACATGCATCTTCATTGGCATCAGCAGGGCTGAAAAGAGACTCCAAACTTAAGTCTTTAGAAATAGCCATAGAACAAAAGAAAGAAGAGTGTAGTAAGTTGGAAGCACAGTTGAAAAAGGTAAGTTCCATCTTGAAACAAACAAACAAAAACAATCAGAAAAACAAAAAATCAACATCCCACCCCCTCATTTTGAAAAGATGTGCTTATTTACTCTTCTGGAGTAAATCTAAAATCTACCCATCTTATGCTGTTTACTGATGCTCGCATCAAATACTGCTAACTTTTTCTTAAGAGGCTTGTACCAAAGCCACTAGGGAACCTCAGAAATTACCTTGAATACCTATATGAGGGAATTCTGAGAAGCTGCTACAGATAGATGAACTGGGAGCAGGACATTGGAGGGGAAGTAGAAGGAGAGAAAGAAATTACCAAACCGGCAATTTCTTTGTATATGAATTTATACCACTATTAGAAGTAGACTGAACTGTTTGTAGCATGGGAAAAAATTGAAGGCTTATCCAAGAAATTCTATACTTCCAAATCAAAAAAGTCTTCTTCCAAAATGGAAACTCTATCTAGGTTTTATTTTGGCGTTTTTATGGCTTTGTTGATGAAGATGTTTGTGATAAGCAAAATAATGCATAATTCATCTCAGCTAGCATTTCAGTATTTCTATTCAGCAAGTAGTGGAAGGAAGCATTTAAAGGAAAACATACAAATCCTGTATTTTATAACATGATTTTATTTAAATTGATGCATTAAAATAGTTTTTGCTTAAACGATTTGCAAGTTTGATGCCTTTTCTACCATACGTTGTTTCTCTGACCTTTTTCTGTGTCTTTCGGTAATGTCTGCTCTCATTGTTTGAACATCAATCTCATGGCGTATTCGATGGGTTTAGGCATTATGTTTGCCTTCTGTAATTCATGACTAAGTGTATGTCAAACATGAATTTTTTTAAATTTATATCTAATGTTTCATTTTCTAGAAAAGAACATTTATTTGTTCTATGAATGTTACCACTGTTAGGATAAAATTCTGACACTCTTTTTACCCAGGTTGAATAGAATCCTGCTCTGTGTTTAAGCATTGTTTCAGTAGCCTTACCTGTGAAGAAGGTATTGCAAAGTATAAAGGATACCAGAGTGTAAACCTTGTACTTCTATTATTTTTTTAATATAAGAAAGAATATGTGCAATTAGGTGCCCGTGGTACATGCTTGGTTGTGGAGAGGAAGGAAGGGAATCTTTTTCAATAAAAATATACAAAAGCTTTTAATGGAAACACAACTACTTTAAATGTTTGGTAGTTTATAAATGCTATAGATTTCAGAATGAAAATATACGAAGAAGCTGTTTCTCTGCAAGTCCTTTATTTTGTTTTCTTTTGTTAGAAAATGTTTGTCTACTTTGCACTTCACTACAAAATATGCTTCGTTACAATCTGAAATATTTTCTTCACTTAAACTAGTTAAACCTAGAAAAGCACAGATCACTTAAAAATAAATCAAAATCCTCTTGAAGGACTTGAAATCTTAAGTCAATGTTTAATGGCTGGACATATAAACACATCATACAGTCATGGAAAAATAAGCACTTATAAAAATAAGAGAGTGTCTGGGACGTCTTTTGTATAAAAGGGGAGTATGTTCTCTGTGTATAAATACAAAGGATTATTAAATGAAAGTTGAAAACATAATAGTTTTATTATATCATAAATAGAGCATAAAGCCCCAATGGAAATTCACCCACCGTTTGTAGGAGACCAGGTATTTCCACAATAAAATGTAGTTACAACCTTCTTTGTGGGCATGTTTAGTTGAACAGAAACAGTGACTGTTAATGATAGTAGACTCCAAACAGTAATTTTCAATTCACATTTTCTCTAATAAAATACTTTATGTTCAAACCTGTAAATATCCTGTGTTAAAAGTAATTGGTCCCCAGAAAACTACCTTCACCATGGTTTCACTCCTTAGGAAACTAACCGAAACAGAAATCCGAGTTGTTCTTGCGTATGTCTGAGTTAGAGTAGGAGGGAACATCAACATAGTTCGGAGTAAATTAACCTGCATGTCCCACAAGTGTGCTTATGTATGAACATTAACCACTACGGAAGCTAGAAGGAATGGGCACAGTTTATATCTTTTTCAAAAGTGACTCCAAGGGGCTGTCTGTTACTTTTGAGAAATTTGAACGCAGCTTCCATGTTACTCCTCTCTCTAAAAATATCATAGAGAAGGAACTTTTCATTTTGGTATTCTAAAATCATTATACTTTAATGTTGATTTATACGTTTTAACAAATTATACTAATAAATATGAAGACAGTGTTCTGTGTGCATTTGCTAGGAGTTTTCCGTGAGCACAAATGGCAATAAGTACTATGACTGAAAAAATGTGTTCAAGGAGTAAGTCCAAACAAAATATGTAATTTTTTTTTAAAAAAGTTATTTCAAAAGTTTCTCTTCCCTTGTTTCCTGTCCTTGTTTTTGGAGAGGATTCATTTATTGATAATAAAAATGCTTTTCATTGAGTCTGATTAGATCCAAATATTTTGC